GATCAGTCTGTCCGTCTGTTCATCCGTCTGTCAAAGATTTCTTGTTGGGGGCATAGCTTCTCTCTCCTTGGTCCATTCTGGCTCATATTACACCCAGAGGGTGTCTCTGGGTAAAGAGTGTGCATTGATCTTGAACCATGTAACTCTAAGGTTATAGGCCATATTGCAGAATTATATGAAAAATCCTTGTCTGTAGCATATCTCTTCTCCCCTAGGTCTAATGTGGATCATACTTCACTCGAGAAGTGCCACTAGTCAATGGATGTACAGTGCCCTTGAATGAAGTTTATAGGTCAAGGGTCAAAAATAGCCTCTCTGTTTAATTATATGCTCTAATTCTTTGTTCAGTGCATAATTTCTTTACCTTAATTAAGTCTAGTCAGCCTTAAACTTTACCAATTGACTTAGGGTATGGAACATTCATGATTTTCCTTCCATATTTTGGTAGAGGATATGCAACAATTTTCAAAGTGGATATAGGCAAAATTTTTGATTTTTGTGCTGTTGTTTTTTTATAGAGGATATAGACCACATGTAATTTGCATGCCATTTTTAAGAGTTCCCATTTCATCATACAGATACAGTGTACTTTAGAACATTTTGTATACATAGATATACTGATTACGTAAATTCAGATACAGTATGTTACCGACCCCTGTGCTTTGGATGCTGAATTGACAAACACTTTCTGGATGAGCATCTGGGTGAAGTATTTGGAGTAGGTTCATTTTAAATTAAGTGACTATAAGCCCTACACTAACTAACCAACTTTGCATTGAAGATTCAATTGTTTATGTACACTACCAGAGCACAGGGGCTGGTAACGTACTGTATTTGATTTTACGTAATCGCTATATGTATCCAAAAAGGGAGCAGGTATATACCCTGGAATTTTTAGCTCACCTGAGCCAAAGGCTCAAGTGAGCTTTTCTGATCACAATTTGTCCGTTGTCTGTCGTCTTCGTCGTTGTTGTTGTAAACTTTTCACATTTTCATCTTCTTCTCAAGAACCACTGGGCCAATTTCAACCAAACTTGCTACAAAGTATCCTGGAGTAAAGGGGATTCAAGTTTGTTCAAATGAAGGGCCAAGCCCTTTTCCAAGGGGAGATAATCATGAATTAGAGAAAAAATAAGGGCATTTTTAAAAAATCTTCTTCTCAAGAACCACTGGGCCAGGAAAGATGAAACTCATGTGGAATCATCCTCAGGTAGTGTAGATTCAAGTTTGTTCAAATCATGACCCCCAGGGGTAGGGTGGGGCCAAAATGGCCGATCAAATTTTTACATAGGAATAAATAGGAAAAATCTTTAAAAATCTTCTTCTCAAGAACCACTGGGATAGGAAAGATGAAACTCATGTGGAATCATCCTCATGTAGTTTAGATTCAAGTTTATCAAATCATGACCCCCGGGGGTAGGGTGGGGCCAAAATGGCCAATCAAAATTTATATAGGAATATATAGGAAAAATCTTTAAAAATCTTCTTCTCAAGAACCACTGGGCCAGGAAAGATGAAACTCATGTGGAATCATCCTCAGGTAGTTTAGATTCAAGTTTATCAAATCATGACCCCCGGGGGTAGGGTGGGCCAAAATGGCCGATCAAAGTTTTACATAGGAATATATAGAAAAAAATCTTTAAAAATTTTCTTCTCAAGAACCACTGGGCCAGGAAAGATGAAACTCATGTGGAATCATCCTCAGGTAGTGTAGATTCAAGTTTGTTCAAATCATGACCCCGGGGGTAGGATGGGGTCAAAATGGCCGATTAAAGTTTTACATAGGAATATATAGGAAAAATTTTCTTCTCAAGAACCATTGAGACAGGAAAGAGGAAACTCCTGTGGAATCATCCACAGGTAGTCTAGATTCAAATTTGTTCAAATCATGACCCCCTGGGGGTAGGGTGGGGCCAACTGGCTGATAAAAGTTTTACATAGGAATATATAGGGAAACCTTTTAAAATCTTCTTTTCAAGTACTTCAAAACCATGCTTAGTGATATGTATAGGGAATCATCCTCAGGTAGTGTAGATTCTAGTTTGTTCAAATCATGACCCCCTGGCGGGTTAAAATTCAAGCCCCCCCCTCCAGTAAACTTTCAGTTCTGATCTGATATGTGCTTTTTCCTAGCCAATTGATCAGGTGAGTGATGTGGCCCCTGGGCCTCTTGTTAGATATACTGGTCAAAGACCAGAAGAGCTTATGCAATAGTAATGCGTCTGTCGCCCATCCAACTGTCTGTCTGTCTGTAAACAACTTTCAAAAATGCTCTCCTCCTACAGTTTTGGTCTGATTTCAATATAACTTGGCACACAAGTTGACTACACAAAGATACATAATTTTATCGGTTTTTCATTTCGATGAATGGTGTTGCCGTGGTTACTCAAAATAGAAATTTCTGTGAAATACTTTTAAAATGCTACTCCTCCTACAGTTTTGGTCTGATTTCAATGTAACTTGGCACAAAAGTAGACTTCACTAAGATACATAATTCTATATACTGTAAACCACCTGTTATTTGCAACGACTTTATTTCATGATTTACTGGTGTAAAACAAGTTTGCGACGATTAATTTTCACGATCAAGCCTTTTTAGCTCACCTGTGCTGAAGGCTCAAGTGAGCTTTTCTGATCACATTTTGTCTGTTGTCCGTCCGTCTGTAAACTTTTCACATTTTCAACTTCTTCTCAAGAACCACTGCGCCAATTTTAACCAAACTTGGTACAAAGCATCCTTGGGTAAGGGGGAGTTTAAATTGTGAGAATCAAGGCCCAAGTCCCTTCATAAGGGGAGATAATCAAGAAAATACAAAAATAGGGTGGGGTCATTAAAAAAGCCTCTTTTCAAGAAGCAATGGGCCAGAAAATCTAAAACTTATGTGGAAGCATCCTGGGGGTAGTGTAGATTCTAAATTGTTTAAATCATGACCCCCAGGGTAGGGTGGGGCCACAATAGGAAATCAATGTTGTAAAACTTAAAAAATCTTCAAGTCTGAAGGGTGGGGCCACAATAGGAAATCAAAGTTTTACATTGAAATACATATATGTAAAACTTTAAAAATCTTCTTCTCAAGAACCACTGGGCCAGAATTTAAAGCTGAAACTTATGTGGAAGCATCCTGGAGTAGTGTAGATTCTAAATTGTTCAAATCATGACACCCCCCCCACCTGAATCTTCTATTATAATGGCAAAAAAATCAAGCTAGTATACTACTTAATACACAAGATGTACATGTACTGTAAATCACTTTTTATTTGCGAGAATTTTTTTTTCGCGTAATGCTCGCGAAAATTTCATTCTCGCGTATAATATATTTCCTTAAGATTATATAGAGCAATGACCATAATTCGTGAAAATTTTGTCTCGCTAAAAAGGAGTCAAAGACTATCTCGCGAAAATAAGGTGTCGTGAAAATTAAGTGATCTACAGTATTTGCGAAACACTGATGCCCCTACATGGCAGCTTATGGCAAGGGTTGAAGTTTCTGAAGTGCAAGGCAAACTCCAAAGGTCAAGGTAAAAATAGTTGTACCCAAAGGAAGGTCTTTTCACTAGGAATACACCTGTTTAATATGGAAGCCTTTGTTCTAGCTGTTATAAGTTGTCGCCAAGATTAAAGGTTTTAAAAAGTGGGTCAAACTCTTAGGTCAAGGTAACAAATATTTAAACCCACTGAAAGATCTTATCTCAATGAATACACATTTGAAGTATGAAAACACTAGTTCCAACTGTTCAAAAGTTATGACCAAAGTTAAAGTGTGATATTTTTTTATAAAGTTGGTCAAACTTCCACGGTCAAGAGGTCCCCAAAGAAAGGTCTTGTCAAAAGGTATACACTAGTCCTGTGAAATATGAAAGCTGTAGCCCCACCCACTCAAAAGCTAAGAGCAAGGTAAAAGTTTTTGCAGACAAACAGACAGACGGACAGGGCAAAAAATCATATACTCCCGAATCTTCATTATTTGGGCACAAAAAAATCATTGCCCAAGCTTTATTTTATTAGATTAATGTAAATTTTAAAAGGATGTGAAGTGCAACATGTGATTATATAAATCTGGGCTACAGAAATTTTAGCTCACTTTAAAGAAGTCAAGAGGATAGTGCCATATTGTCAGAATCAAAGTTAGCATCAGCTTCTGGTTAAAGGTTTAGGAACATATCTATAACCAAAGAACTATAATCCATACCTGGTTTCAAAAATGCATGGAACTACGGATGACACTACCAGATATGCTGCAAATTTTTGATCTGACCTACTGGTACATTTTCCAGATGAGTGACCAAGTTCAAAGTTATAGGAGCAGGTACATTTTGAAGTAATTGTAATCCAAACCTAGACCAAACTTGCATGGAATTGGATGATGCATCTAATGATAAACACTGTCATGTTTTCAGATTCTAATTGATCTGACCTACCTTTTACCAAATGAAAACCCATTTAAGAATTTAGGGGCAGGTACATTCCCAAGTACTGTGAAGTCATTAATTTTTGTGGGGGTTTAATTTTCATTGTTTTCAAGGTATAATTAAACCCATGAATTTATGTCCACCACAAAATGCAATTTTTCCACTGAACAATTCTTCTACCACGAAATCAAATCCCCATGAACCAATATATTTTCCTCAAACCACGAAAATTTGACCCCTCAAAAATATGTGATTTTACAGTAACTTATAATCATCCATACCCTGAGCAAACCTGCACAGATGATGCTACTTGGTTAGTATACATCCTAGATGCATGCATCTTCCAAGCAACTTTTGTCCAAGTTTATCTCTTAGTAAGTTACTTGGGAATGAACCTGCTCCAATACATCTAGAACACCAGATCAGGGGTATAGCATATAAGCTTGTCTTCATCACTTGAAACAGAATGGTATTACAAGAGATTATGGAAGTGCCAAATAGCAAAGCTTCACAATTAATTTTCATTGAACTAAGTTATGAAAAAATGAACTTGTCAATATAAAGAGACATAACAAATTATTTATGCAACATATAAAAGTATGATTTATAAGTGATAAATTCTTGAAAACATTTCCCAAACTTGCTGGAAAAGATCAACAAGCTTAATATGATTTAATTTTTAAAATTTCATCTTGGACCGTCCTTCACTTTATACAAATCTATTAATGAGTCCATACAGGTATCCTGTTCAGTATTTGTATGAACTCCGCTCTGCTGTGCTGGGACTGTGTGTTTAGTATGATGTCTGTGGAGTATGAGTCTGTAACCTGGTACAAATGACACAACTCTAGATTCCTTAACTGCAACTTGACTCTTCTTCCTGAATGAAGAGGAATCTACAAAAAGCATATGTTTACTGTTAAGTAAATACAACCAATACATCGATCTTTAATATGATGTTAACAGGAAAAAATTCATTGGATATTGAATGTCCTTAAAGCACTGGACTAAAAAGCATTAATAAAGAAAAGCTCTTAAGATCAATCATCTAGCTAAAATGACCTGTTTTTACTCTTCACTTTAAGTAGGAGCATACAGTCAAACCTCATTATTTGAGGTATGGGGTTTAAAACACAATGAAAACTTCCAACTTTCTTTGACATGTTCATAGTACATGTATTCAAGATGCATGTATTTATATTTGAGATAACAAAGTTCAACTGTGCTTCCCTGTATCCTTATTTTGGTCAAACCTGGAAGTAAAGAGCCAAGTATGTTAGTAAGAAAAATCGGCCTTTCTTTGAAAATTGAAAATAATTATATAAATATGACTTCAGGATGTACACTTCATAAATATATAAACAATTTTCATCTATCTTTTATAGTTATGTTGAAATGACCCTCAGAAGATGGGGTGTATTTTATTGCATTTCACAGATTTGAGCACTGTGACGTCATATTTACCATCAATTAAGAACATTTTAATAACAAGTTTTATGTTTCAATGTATTTTGTAGGTAAAAGATTTAATATTTAACTGTTCAAATGGCATTGTATATTTACCTTTACAAATATATTGTGCAAATTTAAAAAAGAATATAAAACAAACGGCTTCCAATATCTCTGTATATATCTGAATATCATAATTGCTGTCAATTTTTTGCATAATTTGCTGTGACTCTTTTTTTCTCCTCAAGTCATGACATTTTTTTCAGTAATGTTTAACATCGTAGATTATGATTGTTAAAAGATCCTTAAAAGTAGTTTTTAAAGGATCTAAAAAGATAAATAAAGAAATATCTCTTTCTTCAGCATTTATTTTGACCTTTTTGCACTTAAGTTTAAAATATGGTACAAAGCAAAAAACTATCCAAAAAACAGTATTCGGTAATATTTGTTTTAAAGATAACAATGTGCAGCAAAATTAAAGATAAAGAAATTTTATGTGTAGGATATAATGATACTAATGTCAATTGAGGACTTTCTTTTGGCTTATGATGACTTTGCACGTTAAATGGATCTTTGAATGTGCACCACTGACAAAAAAAAATTGAAACATTTTTCTAACTCATAAACAGGAAACTTGCAAAGCTATGCAAAACAACTAACATAAATTCACATAAAAATACCATTTTATTTCTTTTGAGAATAAGATCTTCTAAAACTCTGTAAGGTATAAGATGACTTGCTTTTCTTGTTTTATATATTAAAGATTGAAAAGTGTAAAACTGTTCAAATTGTAGCTGTACATAAAAATCATCATTTTAAATATAAAACAAGTGTGAGTTCAACTATAAAAACTTCAAATACAGAAACAATTTGCTATGTCTATGTATTTTTTAGCTCTGAAGATTTAAAATAATTACATATTTAACAAACTATATGAAAAATATAAACAAAAATATCTGGAAAAAGGAGATTACATGCCTATAACCACACTGGACATAACACTCACACTGTTTAAAGAACTATATATGAAATTATTAACTTTTTTATACATTTTGAAAAGGGCAAGGGACACAAGAAAAAGTTCCAATAATCACCTGTCAATCTAAATGAATAACCATAATTTTAAAATATACAATCAATAAGTTAACGCTTTCTTGTCTTTATTCCTCAGTGGCTTCGGTTTCACTGTCGCTTTCGTCAACTATCTCTGGAATGTGCGCTGCATCACATACATTGTCTAGCCAGTTCTTGCCTAATTCAAGGTTGATCACATCAGAGTATCTAGCAAAAGACAAGTACCAAATAACACTGGCAATGTGTGCACAGGTTCCAACTACTCGCGCTCCCGACTTACAACGGCAATACCAAGAGGTCACGACACCATCCTCAAACTTAATCCAGCACAGATAGCATTTGCTTGAGATATGTCTACTTTGGATCTTGGCAGCAAGGAGGCCTGGTTTGAATTGATCAACCCATATCTCAAATCCATCCTGGTTCACATGTTCCTGGGTGTAAAATTTTGCCAATTTAATTTGATACACACCAAGAGTCAATTCCCGAATTTCTTCCTCTGTATACTTTGGAAAGTCAGTAATGGTGTTCTCCTCATCATCAATCTTCCTCCAATGATATCGCTTCTTCACTAGATTTTCTGACTCTACTTCTGCCTGCAGTCGATTTGTCTGGGTAGAGAGGTACCGCATCTTCGTTGCAATTTGGAAATCATTCTCTTTTCCACTGCTTAGAGGGGGCCTAAAACAATTTTTTTCAGAATAATTACAATGTTTTTTAAATTGAATTTTTCATAATAGAAATTAAAAACTTGTTCAGGCAGTTGCAAAGTTTTTGAATTTTACCAATGAAATGTACCTGTATTTGTTGCAGATTGCACTTATAATTCGCACATAGTCACCAACATATGGGATCTGGGAATTAGGGAGTTGTCTTGCCAAGTACCGCCACGTCTTAATTCTGGCATTCACCGATTCTACCACCCATCGTATCTGTTATAGGAAAAATTCATAATCTCTGTTGATATACGGATACATTCATGCATTTCTTATTCACATGTCTGTAATCAATCATAATTCATTTACTGGGTGCATAATACATGCAGACAAATACCTTTGTGATCATACGAGAGCTATTGGCATCCTCTGTGGAGTGTTGCCTCTGGCCTTTTTGTAAAAAAGAAGGCATCTCCATATGAATTCCCAGATTTTCTAACACACCTGCAGAATCCCTAAAACCCCTATCAACTATCATGATATCATCCTCCTGGAGCCAAGTCTTAATTTCTTGAGTGTCTGTACCAATGATGTGTTTTAAAATGTTTGCATCAGAATTCTTTCCGTCAGCTAAATATGGTCCAATGGCAGCTACGATGTAACCTGTGGTTGTGACAATCATCATTGGTTTCAGTAGATGCCTGTTTATAAATAATCATTCAATATTCAATAATAATGAATTCATAGCTTAAAAAATTTTAATTTTACAAATATAACTTTCATGACATTTTAAACAAATTTTGAATAGCTACATTAATGTTTTCTTTCCATGAAAACTAATTTGCAAAATTGTACCATGATAAAATTCAAGTAAGTTGCATTAATTCATTTGTTGAAATACAAAAGTCCTAACTTAAACCAATCAAAGATTATGGGCAAGGTTATACAGAGTTTTTGCAGACTACAATCTGACAAACAATGCAAGACATTTGGTATATATTCCATCTAAATTAAAGAATTATTTTTAATTATATATATGATATTTCTCACCTTTGTTTTTGCAAACTGTATGACCGCCTTTGAAAGGAAAACTGTGAACTCTTTTGAACATATATATATGTTCCATCCAGCACTAATATGGCCTGGTTGAGGGTGGGAGAGAACAGTTCTTTGGCAAGGGGTCTGGTATGGTCATGGATAACAGTATCCCTGCTGATATGATTGAAACCAAGGTGATTTGGGACAAAGTAGATGCTAACTGCTTGTCTCATAGTGGATACAGCTCTTCTAATCTAAAATAAAAATTATTTTCTTACATGTAGCGCTGCAATATAATATTTCCTTTTAAATGATAAGCTTCCTCTCTCTCTTTTCTCTCTAGCTCTCTTCGAAAGCTGACGAGGTATTCATTTAACTATATTTGAAAGGCCTGGGGAAGTTACAAGTATTATTCCAGCAGTTTCTACAATGAAGGATGTTTCTTAAACATATATATATTTTTATAAATATCATGAGATACCGGTATCTAGCTTTCATATCGTGATATATTATTATGGTGGGTAATATTAATACCGCAATATACTGATATACATGTACCTGTAATAATGCACAGCCCTACCTTTTAATGTATCGCATTTGTTTCTACATTTTCTGCATAATACACCATCTTTGCACTCAGTCATAAAATATTTTCTTAGAATCTTTCTTGTGCTTTTATTCACAGGCCGTCTTTCACTAGGCTTTGTCCTTTTTTTGCAAAGTATGCAAGGATAAAATTTTGGTCCACAACCTGGCATTTTTCCTAAAATAAATTACATGTGCATAATTATTGACCATGTTTACTTTAAATAATTTTCATGTCATCAACCATTTGATCTGAGGGAAGTACTCTAAGGAACAGATCACTATAGTATTAATTTTTTTCTTCATAGAACAAAACGTTCATTAATTCAAAAAAAAAAACATCATGTAACTGATACTCTGTACCCCTGCTAAAGGAAAAAAGGCCCCAGCACGTACAGATCTAAAGGGGTTGGGGTCAAAAGGGGACTCAAATACAAACCAAAACACAGCCATCTCTGTTTTTAAAATTCATTTTTTTTTTTTTACCTGCAATCTCAAGACAGGTACATGTAGAACATTAAAATATTTCACTAAAATATTATATAGAAAATAAGTTCTAATTATAAAATCATCTATGAGGAACTTTATGTTATATAGTTATTAAACGGATTTCTTCTTTACTTTGAAAGATAGAAAGCGAGAGAAAAAAAAAATTGGCTACTTTTCAATCAAAATATCCATCCTCATCATAAAAAAATGAATCAATCATAAAATTTATATACTTTGAAAACTAATTGCAATGTCCAATGTTATTTATTTTAAAACAATTCTAACTCCTAAAGCATTTAAAACTATTTTTTGTCAAAAAGAAAAGTAACAAATAATCTTCAACATGATATGTAAAATATAAGTGTAAAAATCCATTGAATTGTAGGTCTTTTAAAAAAAATGCCTATAGATTATTTAAACGAACAATGAACAACGCGTAATATACTTTTGCAAGTAACTGTACGTTGTCAATGTAAATAATGAAACGCTCTATTTTTAAACGATTGGTGTAGGAGCTAAATTTAACCTCTAAAATGACATAATATAATCTAAATTGATTTGTACACTTCAATCATTTCGTTTTCTTTATACACTTTCTCAGTTTTGGTGTTTATAAGCGACCTTTGTCCATGTTTCGTATGCAAACGACAGCCGCCTTCAGTGAAAACAAACCAATGGATCATACTCGTAATGTACAGTGTTTATCAAATGTTTAAGAATGTAGAGGATATTAATTATTATATATGTATCATTTAACTTCTCTACAAAGTTTACGTACCTTTAGATGCTACATTTTTCTCTAAATACTTCTACACAGCGCCGATCGAATGTAGATTTACACTGCAGGTACTGCAGACTGGGGACTGTACGTCACCGGTGATGAAAAATACGTCACAGAAACATGGTAAAACAGACGACTGAACATTAGAAAATTCCAAAATTCACTGTGGCCACAGCCCACGGCCAGAATGAAACCTGTTTAAATCGACTCCTTTTATGTTCATGAATTTCTAGCTAAAATATTTTCGTGGCCGATGCTTGTGGCCACATCGAATTTTCCCAAAAACCATGTGAAAAGTGGAGAAAAACGCTCGTTTTCCGGGATACTTCAAAGGTTCGGATATTACATAGCAGCATAAGAGGCTTGGATCCGCCGAAATGTTTACATATACAAAGACTTCGGATCTTACACTTTATAAATATAAATTAATACTTGGGAGAGGCAAGCTTTATTTTTTATGTATTTTACAGGGCCTAGGGACTATAACTAACGTACTTGGTTCTTTGCTTATCATTTTTTATACAATTTACTTTTCAATACAATGTACCTTATTAGTTCCATTTAGAGGGAGTGATTCTTTATCTATTTAAGTTCCCTTATGAGCAAATACAGTTGAATTTTGGTATACCAAACACTGATATCTTGAATACCAGGGATAGGTGGAAGTGAATTGGAAGTCCCAACTAATTATTCTTCAGGTAGTTTATCCCTTATACCTCAAGTACTTGGTCGGATACCTCAAAGACAAAGTTTCATATTGGTCTGATCAAGTTCCGGTTAATGTTGTTTGATGGTACATGTATGATGGTTATGGACTATCTCATTATACCCCCCACTTGAAAAGCGGGAGGGTATATAGTAATCGTTATGTCAGCCCGTCCATCTGTCTGTTACGCTTTGGGGTACCCATCTCTTATCCGCAACTCCTCTTATACCACTAAGTGAAATTAAATGAAACATTCACAGAATCTTTATTACATATTGCCATTGTGCACATCTTATTTTACCTTTTGATCCCACACATATTTTGGGTTTCCCGGCCACAGTAAAACATGGACTTTGCCATTTTAACCATATGGGAGGCGGGGGTATCATTTAGTGAGCTCATTGCTCACAATACCTCTAGTTTGACAAGCATTCAGCGTTTGCAAAAAGAATACTTACAAAAATTTGATGTCTGTTTTCTTTTGGTGTTACTGTTTTGTGCCTGTATTGCCTGAACAGTCCAATTTTGAACTTGCTCCGATGCCAATCCTTCATTTGTTATGGACATCAGAGAGTCTGTTTTCTCTAGGCATAGCCTCCATTCATTGTCCATTTCCTTCACCTTAGCAACAATATGCAATTTTGAATTAGTTGTGTACTCATACAGTAATACTACATATATAGTTTTGTTATATAGTGAAACTTGTCCAATTCAGATGTTATATATGGAATCTTGTCTAACATGATGGGAACTTTAATTAAGGACCCTTTCTACACCAGTACAAAATGTTTTTGGACACTGAGAAAAATATATTCTATAAAGGTGTTGATATTGAGCTTCTTTATATGATTTTCACTATATGGTGTGTGGTATTTACCCCCAGGAAAAATAATCAAACACAACACAGTATCATTGAATAGAAATCACTGTTGTTTACTTCCATAGAGAAAATACATGTAAATAATATGTTCAATTAATTATCTTGGCCTTTTAAAATGTTAAGAATACTTCAACTGATTACAAATTTTGTAATATACTATGAATTTCTAATTTTTAGAATTGAGATCTAAAGGCAGATCACTCTAAATGCAAAAAATACCATAGAATCAGAACTCTTTAGTACGTGTGCTGTGTAGAGAGGGTTCTTAAGTCTCATTCCATAGATTTAATTGTGCAGTGTGTTGTTTACTCCAGATTGTTGTCTCATCTGATCAATTTTTTGGAGAACAAGTAGTGTCTGAATTAGTTTTACTGTATAGCAAAATTATATATATAATTTTTCTAAAAGCTAGGTTACATTAAAGAAAGGTAGGATGAATACTGTATACAGGGTTATTTTTGGCATTTTACACTTTCTTATAATTTTGCCCCATTGTAAATTTGCCCATTCACAGTTCTGTTTAAGAAATTACACTATGTTCTCAAATTTCACCCACTTATGAGAAGGGCAATAGTGGTGAAAATAAAATGAGGGCAAAAATTTCCATGAATACAGTACTACAAATGCGAGGGCCAGACTTTTTTAGCTCAACTGAGCCAAAGGCTCAAGTGAGCTTTTCTGATCACGTTTTGTCTGTCGTCCGTCCGTCCGTCTGTCCGCCCGTCTGTAAACTTTTCTCATTTTCGACTTTTTCTCAAGAACCAATGGGCCAATTTTAACCAAACTTGGTACAAAGCATCCTTGGGTAAAGGGGAGTTCAAATTGTTAAAATGAAGGGCCAAGTCCCCTTACAAGGGGAGATAATCAAGAAAAGACAAAAATAGGTTGGGGTCACTAAAAAATCTTCTCAAGAACCACTGGGCCAGGAAAGCTGAAACTATGTGGAAGCATCCTTGGGTAGTGTAGATATTAAATTGTTAAAATTATGACCCCCGGGGGTAGGGTGGGGCCACAATAGGGAATCCAAATTTTACATAGAAATAATATATAGAACAAATCTTTAAAAATCTTCTCAAGAGCCACTGGGCCAGGAAAAATAATCAAACACAACACAGTATCATTGAATAGAAATCACTGTTGTTTACTTCCATAGAGAAAATACATGTAAATAATATGTTCAATTAATTATCTTGGCCTTTTAAAATGTTAAGAATACTTCAACTGATTACAAATTTTGTAATATACTATGAATTTCTAATTTTTAGAATTGAGATCTAAAGGCAGATCACTCTAAATGCAAAAAATACCATAGAATCAGAACTCTTTAGTACGTGTGCTGTGTAGAGAGGGTTCTTAAGTCTCATTCCATAGATTTAATTGTGCAGTGTGTTGTTTACTCCAGATTGTTGTCTCATCTGATCAATTTTTTGGAGAACAAGTAGTGTCTGAATTAGTTTTACTGTATAGCAAAATTATATATATAATTTTTCTAAAAGCTAGGTTACATTAAAGAAAGGTAGGATGAATACTGTATACAGGGTTATTTTTGGCATTTTACACTTTCTTATAATTTTGCCCCATTGTAAATTTGCCCATTCACAGTTCTGTTTAAGAAATTACACTATGTTCTCAAATTTCACCCACTTATGAGAAGGGCAATAGTGGTGAAAATAAAATGAGGGCAAAAATTTCCATGAATACAGTACTACAAATGCGAGGGCCAGACTTTTTTAGCTCACCTGAGCCAAAGGCTCAAGTGAGCTTTTCTGATCACGTTTTGTCTGTCGTCCGTCCGTCCGTCTGTCCGCCCGTCTGTAAACTTTTCTCATTTTCGACTTTTTCTCAAGAACCAATGGGCCAATTTTAACCAAACTTGGTACAAAGCATCCTTGGGTAAAGGGGAGTTCAAATTGTTAAAATGAAGGGCCAAGTCCCCTTACAAGGGGAGATAATCAAGAAAAGACAAAAATAGGTTGGGGTCACTAAAAAATCTTCTCAAGAACCACTGGGCCAGGAAAGCTGAAACTATGTGGAAGCATCCTTGGGTAGTGTAGATATTAAATTGTTAAAATTATGACCCCCGGGGGTAGGGTGGGGCCACAATAGGGAATCCAAATTTTACATAGAAATAATATATAGAACAAATCTTTAAAAATCTTCTCAAGAGCCACTGGGCCAGGAAAGCTGAAACTTATATGGAAGCATTCTTGGGTATAGTGTAGATATTAAATTGTTAAAATC